CTCGGATCGGCTGCCTGGCTCCGCCCCCACACAGCTGGAGCTGCAGCAGAGAAAGAGGACGGACGGTTACACAGAACATCTCTTTAAAAACTGATTTTAACGGAAGAAAAAAAAAAAAGTTAACAGATTTTTAAATATTATTTCAGTTTAATATTATAATATTAAGTCCTTCATTTATTTCTGCATTTATTTTTAATTACGGCAGGATTGGTTCTCCATACTTATATAGATAGTTAAAGGTTTTAAATATTATGTTTAACTGTTGCCATTAAAGTATCTGTAGATATTTAAATCTATTATTTTATATTATTTCAGTTTAAAAAGTGACAAATTATGACTTAAAAAATTTATACTTTTAGATTAATAATTGATCAATAGATGAAGAAATGTCTTATTTATATTATTTTGTCACATTTAATGGCACAAATTCATATTATTAGCGACTTTTTCAAGCAATTTTATATTATTAAGTCATTATTTTATTTCTGTATAATTTTTAATTAAGGCAGGATTGGTCCTCCATACATATATAGATAGTTAAAGGTTTTAAATATTATGTTGCCATCAAAGTATCTGTAGATATTTAAATTTATTATAACTTGTAAAAATCTAGGGAAAAGGATTAGGGCACTGAAAAAAATATTAAAAAGTTAACAGATTTTTAAACATTATTTCAGTTTGATAAGAGACAAAGTGAGAATTCTGACTTTAATCTCGGAATTTGGATTTTTGTAATATTACAACTTTATTCTCCTAATGTTACGACTTTATTCTGAAGATAAAAAAGAAATAACATCTCTAAGCCGGCCCTGGTGTTCCGTCGTACCACAGCAGTGTTTCCTTGTAAGGGTTTGATCTTAAACCCACAGGTAAGCTGGGGGGGGTGACGTCTACCTGGTGAGGTGGGGGTGGGGGGGTGCCGTCTACCTGGTGAGGTGGGCCAGCCTGGCAGCAGCCGTCCAGCTCCCCCTCAGCCTGCTGGGACCCAGAGAGAGGACCTGGACGCAGTGACTCAGCACCCCGCTGTCATATAAGCGAGCCTTGGCTCCAGCCAAAGCTCTGCTGGGTTTCTGCAGGGCTGCAGAGTTCAGAACCTCTGAGAGAAGAAGAAGAAGAAATGAGAACCAGTGGAACCAGTGGAACCAGAGCCGTCCATCCCACAGAGGATCCATCTCACTGTTTAAAGCATCGATCAGGAGGCTGATCTTCTCCTCTGTGCTCAGAGCTTCATTCTCTAACTGCATCTTCAGCTCTGACGTCACAGCTTCTTCATCCTCCATCACACCAGACCTCAGATGGAGCTAAAAACCAGGCAGGCTTTAGAATCAGAGCTAAAGCTAATCAGTTATTATCTCTGCCTCCAGAACAGATTCAGGGGAAAATATATTTCCTCTGCTAAAACTTCTGGTTTCTGCAGAGCCTCACCTGCCCAAAGCAGAACAAGCAGCTTCCTGAAGGGTCACATGTGTCTCTGAAACACCTGTTAGCTTTAGCAGCGCTCCACTTTCACACCAAGTTCCTCACTAAATAAAAATAGTTTCGATTCTCTGACATGAAGCGTCGCTTTAAATCATCTCCGCCGCCATTTAATGCCTCATTTATTAAGAAAAAACACACAGTTAAGCTCCAAACATCACGCTTCCTACAGAGTTAGCCCGCAGCTAACACCTAGCTCAGAGGCAGAGGCGACGCGCTTTGTTTCCAGGGTAACCTGACGTCATCAGAGCGCGACAGCAGAGAGCTCCATTCCTAAACAAAGGAGCGACTTTAACCTGCTGGATTTGAACGCGAATTGAAAGAAAAATGACTTAGATATTTATTTAAGTACGGAAGACGATTAGGGCCACTTTGAAAATAAAAAAAGTTTACTAATTTTTAAACTTTATTTCAATATAATATAGGAAAAAGGTCAGAATTCTGACTTTTCTCCCATATTATAGTGAAACAAAATTTAAAAATCATTTTTTATGTTTTCAGTGGCCCTAATCCTCTTCCGTATTTAAGAAACGTTTCTGTTGGAGAAGCAAATTATGTATATATTTGTGTTTAGACGTTTAGTTTTGTTTCTAAAAGCTTCCCGTTCGACCGCGCTTTATGACGGAATCTCATGGTGCATTCAAATGCAGTTAGAAAACCTCATGGTGCATTCAAATGCAGTTAGAAAACTGCTATAAATAAAAAGATAATAATTAAAGTGTTATTTATATTTATTGTTATTTAACACTTTTTCAATATTTTCAAATAGTCCCATTGATTAAACAGATTAAAGTTTTGAGAAAGTTTGAACAAAATCTTGATTTATGCTTTTAAAAAACATGTTTTAAAACTGTAATCATCTTTTTTTTTTTTTTTTCAGAACTGACCACATAGACAGCGACATCTTTCCATTTTTTAAACTTATCTTTATCCACAAAAATTCTTTGACTTCTTGGTTTATTAGTTTCCCATATTTTCCTCAGTTAATAAAATCATTCTTCACCAATTTATCTTAATCTTTTACTAAATGTTAAATACATTCATACAACGAGCTAATGGTGATCCTTTGTATCTTGTTTTCAGTTATACGATCAGATTAATCCCATTTTTTATATTTGACTTTTCTCGTTTTGACAAATTTATACGGAAGATGATTAGGGCCACTAAAAAAAAAAAGTTAACTGATTTTTAAATATTATTTCAGTTTAATATGGGAAAAAATTAAAAATTCTGACTTTTTTTCTCAGAAATCTGACTGAATTCTGAAAGCTAACAAATGTTAGCATCAAGTCATAGGCATGCCTATAGACTAAACTAGCTCTCTTGTTTTAAATATTATAATCATCTTCCGTACATTTGTTTGTTTCTCAGTTCTTTGAATAATGAATGTTTAAGTAAAGAGGTTGGAAAATCCTCTATCTTGGTCATTTCTATTAAAAATCCAACTATTGCAGCTGAAAACCATAAAGTTGAATTTAAATGATCGAAACGTTTAATAGGAATATTGAAAGGGAGCGGCTAATATTCAGTCCTGTGGGAGGAAATGGGATTGAACTCTAGTTGTTTGAGATCTGATGGAGACAAAGCATTTCCCAGAAACCATCAGTGTGAACTGATGAGAGGAATCATTCATGGTCATGTTGATAAAGTAAGAGCTAAAAACATTTCCTCTATGGAAGGCAGAGCAGATAATCATTACCTTTCTCTCCACGTACCAGGAAGTGTTCAGTAGAAGAGCTAAGTCCATTAATGCAATTAGTTTGTTTTTATTAAGGTGTTCAATGTGAGATTATTGAACATTTGCAAACAAACTTCTCCTAAACAATCTAATCTGCCTCCAACAGAGATGAGATCCACCATTATAGATCATTCTGGAAACTTATTGGAATGATGGGCTGACTGGGTTCATATATGAGGATAGAGAAGAATAAACTCAGCCCCATGGAGCCAAGAGGCACTGCTGAATCAGTGATGATAACATCCTCACCTCTCCTTTCCCCATGCAGCCATGACAAATGCATCATTGACAGAGATGCATGCCACCTCCTCTATACCTTTACTCCTCTACTCACCGGCTCGCTGCACAAAGCCTGGAAGGTGAGTCTTAGAGCAGCTGTGGGTAAAAGCTCCAGGTACAGCAGAGAGGATGCCTTTCTTCCTCTT